TCTATGATTCTATGATTCTATGATTACAATTAGTTTTAGAAACTAACAGAAGTTCTGGGCTAATCATCCCCAGTTCTTGTACAGATGCATGCAGAAAGAAACCAAGCCTTTCTTGTGAGAAGAGCAGTGGTTAGCTCTGATCGCAGGGTCTGGACCTACACCGTGGTTGATTCCCCCGAGAGGTACATCACTTCCAGTGGGGCACAAAACTGCAAGAAGGAGATACTTCATGGTTTGCTCTCGCAACCACATGAAGACACCATCCTGCATACCCACAGGAAGTACAGCTTTCACCTCCTGCTGTTCACACAGGTGTGGGACCCACCACGCTGCAATCGTCAGTATCTCTGGTGAGCACTGTAGCTAAGTGCTACCATACAGCCAGCCCTCTGTGAGCCAAAGACGCTGTGTTGGAAACTGTGATGCAAAAATATTGTGCATTCTTATCATGCTTGCTTTTTTTTTTTTAATATAATGGAGCTTTCATGTCCTCACAAACCTGCTTCTCTTGATGGCTGGAGCTTAGCAGATACCAAATTTGGAAGAAAATTGTGTGTTCTGGTTTCTGCCGTGCTGCATCACATTCCAGCATGTCCTTCACACTGCAGTAGCACGTCAAATCACATCAGCTTTTGATGAGTCACACAACAAGCTTTGGCACCAACATATTGTAGTTGCAGAGAAACAGGTAGAGCAATTCTTTAGGGATGATTTGGATGCCTGCCTAGTACAAAGCAAAACAAAACAGAAAGGTCTAAATGTAATGCCGAGAGTCACCAAGAGAATTGTATCACAAAGAACATTTAAGACCTGGGTGATATGGTCAGCACATCACAGCAAAAATACATATATACATATATACCTTTCAATATTTGATTATGGAGACTGGGGTTTGGTCTGAAAAAAGAATTATGGTTAAAAACACTTGAGATCTCTCACTAGCTGATTTTGCGCAGCTTCAGGCAGGTTCACTGCCTGTGACTTCTTTTACAGGCAGAGCATGACCAGCTCAGAATAATGAAGTCTTTTTCCCTCACAAAGAGCAATTTTACATAAAATGAAGGTTTGCTGTCACCTGAATAGAACTTGTGACTTCTATTTTAAGTCAGTTTAAAGAGTCTTTCGCCCAGGAAAGAGAAATGTAACCAAATTACTGCACTCTTCAGATGACTCAGACATTTCCATTGACACAGCATAAATGCAGGCACTTTGACATTTTCTGCCATTTAGGGCTGCTTTTTCTCAAGCTAAAACAAGCCTAGCGATGAAAAGATGTGGTATTAATAGCTGGGGAGCACATACTAGAGGGCACATAAACAGCCTGACAGAGAGAAAGCACCTGCCTGTGCCCCAGGAGAGAGAAGGGGGAGGTTTGCAGGAGTTGAGGGCTCCCATCTGCAGCACACCTCTTGCCCAGGAGCCATGGGAGCCACAGGGTGCTGCTCCCTGCTGGGTTTTGGGACATATTCCTGAAAATTTTCCCTGTCTGTCCACACCCGCTGCACATACTCAGAGCTGCATATCAAAGGGTGGTTAAATCAGTAAATACTGACACACATTCAGTTTTAAGCAAGTTTGGGGATTCCATCTTGCACCTGGTGGTTTTTCCTCAAAGCTACAGCTCTTGGGATCACATTATTTAACAATTCACTACAATTTCACTATATATTCACATACAGATATGCACACATACTTTGGAATTTTACACTTTCAGAGTAAAAGCTTGAAATGCCATTGACATGCATGAAAGAAAAGACCCAGAGATTTCTTTTAAAAACATGCCACAAATTCAAACTAATCTCCTGAACTGTGGATCCCAATGTCTCAATACATGTTCCAGTACTGTCTGATGCCATACGATTTGCAGCACAAAGTATGGAACTTGGAGCATAATTTAAGTCTAGCAGGCAAGTCTAGCAAGTCTAGCTTCAGTTTGGATATATTCCATAGCTGGCTGTATATAACACTCCTGATTTCACTCCTAAAAGCCAACAAATCATTTCTAATGTTCAGACTACAGCAGATAATACAGCTGGTCTACCTGCATGCACTCAGCCTCTGCACTGAAGAATATCACCCAAGATTTAAATTCTAGCAGTGAGTTGGCAGACAAATAATAAGGAAATGGAGCAATCCCTTGTTGATATTTTGGGGTTTTTCACAATCGCATTTGTGATCAGAAGGTTTCTTGCCATTTCTAGGCAGCAGCTCCATTGTGCCAATCCACCTGGGAACAGCTGGTTGGCATCCTGCGCTTCCAAGCATCGCAGAGGTACACTGGTAACAACCTGGAGATGCAGATGGCCAGACTGTGGTGTCTTTTGAACCAAGGGAACAGGAAACAAAACTAAGTAGTAAAAGAAACTGCATAAAGCTCAGCTCCCAAAAATCCCACAGCATCACTGCATGGGGTCAGGGCTTGTAGGTCTGCCAAAGAGAAAAAGTACCCATGTTCCCTATTTATCATAGCTGGCCAAAGATTCGCAGACATGTTTGTAAGAAGGGATAATTTTCCTGCAGGTTCCTTTAGGCTCCCTGGGGGCTCAGATCACATTGGAGACATTCAGTCTTGTGCTTTCCAAAAGTCTGAGGCCAAAAAGCTTGAAAGTCAGCACTGACAAAATCATCACTGATCTCCAAAGATTTTGCCTTGGTATTCAAGAGATGAGAAGAACAAATTACTGAATCCAATTTCCTTCTGATTAGGAAACTTGGTGCACAGTCTGAGGAATTTGAGGAAGGAGGTAAACAGGAATTCAGATGCCACTGGGAAATTCTGACACTTTAAGAAACATGCTGAATATGGAGGAAGAAGCCCCAAAGGCAGGAATTTCCCTTTAAGTGACCAAAGCAACTGGCTGTTAGGTCACTCGCTTGCTATTTTGTTTCAGCAGTGTCATTTTGATTCATTTTGATTCAAGTTCTTATAAAAAACAGGCCATCACTCTAAATGAAGCAGAATGGTCAAATCACAGCAGAATAATTCTGACAGTGATGACACGAAGCATTCCAACTTTTTTCAGTGGCAAAAGTGACAATGCAATTGCATGTATTTCACTGAAAAATGTCTAGTTGCAAATTTTCAACTTGCTGCTGCTCTAGGATAGCAGGCTGAGTTTTTTCCTTTGCCTCCTTATTGCCTCAAGCAGATGGCCGTGCCATGGATCAAAAAACATAAAGAGAACCTTAACATGTCCACAAGGATTATACACAAGCATCTCCAAAATGGTGGTAGCACTTAAGTGTGGGGCCTAGAAAAGCTGCTGAGCATGAACAAACAGGGACTACAAGTTGCCTTCCACTGTTTGTTTCTGAAAGCTCTTTTTTTAGCTAAATCTGAAGGCAGTGAGTTTACTCAGGGCACTTCATGTCATAAGGGGTAAAGGCAACTCATAAGGTGTGTGATGCCTTGCAGGTGTGGAGCTGTGGCCTGAGAAGATACTGGAATAGGGGAGGCAGAGGCAAAATGCTGATTAATGACAAACTGATAAAAACCAAAGAAAAAAGAGAGAAGACAAATGGATGTGGGTCCAGGGCTGATTTTTGTAACCTTCCTTCTCTGCTGAATGTATTTTCTCTGCATATAAGCTCTTCTCTCCATTTTTTTCTACCCTTAGACAATACAGCGTGGATTTTGACAAGGCGCTCTGGCTTCAGACAACATGAGCAGAACACCTTTTACCTCCCCGTCCTGATCAGTGACAACGGCCGCCCTGTGCTGAGCAGCACGGGCACGCTCACGGTGCATGTGTGCAGCTGCGATGATGATGGCATGGTGATGTCTTGCAACGCAGAGGCCTATGTCCTCCCCGCCAGCTTGAGCAGAGGGGCACTCATTGCAATCCTCGCCTGCATCTTTGTCCTGCTAGGTAAACCCTTGGCTTCTGCTTGGGAGGGGACAAACTCTTCCATTCTGTCCAGGGGGTTGCTGATCCATTGGAGGTGAACGACACAAACACACACACACACGCATCTATGTATATGTGTATATTACACATAGACTCAAATATACTTAAAGGGCCAAAAGAAGGACCAGATGATGTAGTCAGCTACATATTGCTTCAGACACTGGCATGTAGGAATGGAGGAAAAATATGTCCTGCAGATATTCCTACCAGACACTGAAGTGCTAGGGTGTCTGGTATGGCCCTGCTTTCCTGGAAGGGGTATGCCAGGAGGAAGTACTGAGAGCTGTGGCTGGGAACAAGTTACTTTCTCATCCTCAGCAGTTTCCGATATATGCTCTCACAGGAAACAGGAGTGGTAAGTCCAGTTGCACCTCTTGTCTAGCTAGCCCCACCTCCATCCTTCTTCCTTGAGACACTACATTTAAATGGTGCCTGTGCTGTTATAAAGGGGCTGAACATCTTGCATGTATTCTGCCTCCACAAATACATTTCATCCTTTCCTTGACCAGGCTTTCTATGGCCCCTGTTAGCTGTTGGTATCAAAAGAACTTCAAAGTTCCCTCATTCACTCTCTTGAGACCTGAGATATTAGTTCAAAATGCACATTCCCCAAAATTCCAGAGGATCCAGCTTGAGGAACAGTGGAGTAGGATATGGGAAAAATTCTTTAGAAGTGCCTCAATTCTGGCCCTATAAATGAGCCTAGATACTTCAGTCCAAAATTTCAGAAACCCTTGCTGCCTTCTAGCCCTGGAAATACAGTCACTGGGTGACAGCACATATTCAACAGTAGAGTCTCTGGTGCCTGTATGACCACTTCTCCCCATGCTAAGAAGCATCTGCATCTCTTTGGAGCAGACTAAGGGGCTAGCTCTGCATTTTGCTGTGTAGGCAAGCATATCACCACAGCACCTTTGCACCATCCATCTATGTCACATGCAGCACCCAGCCCAAGAGGCATTCCCAAAGCAGGCTGCAAAACCCAGATACACAGCCAGAGAAAATTCTCTCTGTGGAGCTGTGTGCCACTGCAGATAAACCATTACCAATACCTGATCTGGCCAGCTTAAAAGTAGCTCAAGAGTCACTACAGTGCATTGGGAAGGACCACTGGACAGACATGTCCGAAGTGTCACCAAGAGTTAAGAATTAAGGTGAGAAAAGGGACAGATTAGCAGGACCTCAAGCTACTAATTTTGACTTGGGGAGGGGGAGGCATTTCTGCAGCTCCACCTGCAAACACCACAGCTCTTTAAATCCAAGGGGCTGGCTGGGCTCACTGTGGGGAAAGCAGGGCAGCAGAGAGTCTGAAGCCCTCCCAAGATGTGCCCCCCGCTGACCGCCCCATGTCTCGGTTGCGTCCCACAGTGCTGGTGCTCCTCATCCTCTCCATGCGGCGCCAGCGGAAGCAGCCGTACATCATCGACGAGGAGGAGAACATCCACGAGAACATCGTCAGGTACGATGACGAGGGTGGTGGGGAGGAGGACACGGAGGCCTTCGATATCGCTGCCATGTGGAACCCGCGGGAGGCCCAGCTGGTGGTGAAAAACCGGCAGGACATGCTCCCTGAAATAGAGAGCCTCTCCCGATACGTGCCTCAGGCATGCATCATGGACAACAACGTCCACAACTACGTACTCGCCAAGCTGTACGAAGCTGACATGGACCTGTGGGCACCTCCCTTCGACTCCCTGCAGACGTACATGTTTGAAGGGAACGGCTCGGTGGCGGAGTCGCTCAGCTCCCTACAGTCAGTGACAACAGACTCAGACCAGAGCTACGACTACCTGACGGACTGGGGGCCGCGCTTCAAAAAGCTGGCCGAGATGTACGGAGCCACGGACAGCAGCGGGGCTCTGTGGTAACGCATGAGGAACAGCAGAGGGGTTTCCATGTGAAACAGTGCCCGGTTAGGTCCATTCTCATCAGATGCTTCCATGGATATGGGTGAGGCCTCCTAAAAAATAGCAATACGGTGCTTGAGTGAGAATGGGAAGAAGGGTGCGAATGAAGGTGTCTCTGGATCAGCTTTACTCAGTTAAATTAAGTCACGTTTTTGAAACAGTGAGAAGCAGAAGGAACAAAGGTTTTTCCTGGTTTTTACAGCAAAACTGGAAAGCTCCACACCTGGAATATAAAGACATTTCTCTCTCTCTCTCTCCCCCTTTCTCTCTCGCTCGTACACGGCAGCTTACTGAGCTCTATACGTCTGGGTTCAAAGATCTGTAAACTCCAACTGTAATCTCTGACTCACTGAGAAATAGCCAGCACAGAAAGTTGTTCCCCACCAGTTATTTCTCCCCCCATTAAAAGGGGGGAAAAAAATTGCTTGCTAACAAGAGGAAAAAAAATGCCACAAAACAGAAAATTGAAATCTCAGAGGGCTCTTTGTAAACTAAACCTCCTCTCTCTGTTGCTAACAGAGTCCTTTTTTAATCCTTTAGAAACAAAGCTGAGGTTTTTTTCCACCTGGCCAAGAGGGCTGGGGAAGAGGCTTTGAATTTCTGCTCTAGTTTAATGGCTGATCTGTGATTCATTGGCGTTAACACTAATCCATCTTCTATCAAGTTTGTGTAAATTTATTCTTGGCTCTTTAAAACCATGACTCTGCTAAACTGCTCAGAACAAAACCAGAAAATCTGCCTCTTTTGCACTGTAGATGTCTCTTCCATGTGCCAAATGAGAAGATTAGATTCTACCAATGAAAGCCAAATAAATTTTAAAAAAAGAAAAAGCTATATTTGGTAACTACATGGGTTAGATGGGCTTTCCTAATCTGTGTGAGGTCAATCCAAGGGGTGTTTACATACTGTAGATAACCTACTTGAACAAATGCAGTATTATAGACCAATAAATGGATGTAAGAAAATTACATGTATAAGTTTTGTATATTTGTTAATTTTGGTAATAAATATGATGTACTGCATACAGTACAGTACCTTAGCACCTCTTTTAATAAAAGTTAAACAGAAGGGAAAGTCTGATGGCAATTTATTGACTACTTCGCACACAGCAGTTAGTGCTTATCTATATCTTCATTGTCACATGCCTTGAGCACCAAGGAGAAATGGTTCTTCAGCATCGTGTCAAGGAGACAAGACTTCAGTTTGCAGGTTCAAGCAGATTGTCTGCTTCTTTTATTGGTGTTCACTTGGACATTGTCCTTAGCAGTGAATCAGCCCACGTGCAGCCCACCAGACTAGTTACTTTTCTGTTCCTGCCACACTGAAATCAAAATAAAGTCTTGGCTCACTTTTTTGAAACATTACAGCGGGAGCATTGAGAAGCTTGGAAACCAGTTATGCAGCCCTGTCAGAATCTCATGCCTTCAGAGATATGACAGACTGTAACATGCAATATCCATTTATGGTCCTTGTTAGTCTGCAGTCAAAGTTTTGAGCCTGAATCTTATCTTGTTTGCGTGTGTAAATGAGAAGGGCTGTGGAAATTACACTAACACAAGTTTCTTGGAAGGTGGTGAAAGGCTTCTGAAAGCACAACAGTCTGTAATGACATTTGCAAGTTTCTTTCTAGCTAAGGGCTCTCTCCATTTCAAATTGCCCAGAAAATACGTGTGCAGACATAACCACCCAGTTACCACACTTTTACCACATGCATATTGTGCTCAGCTTCTGTTGCAGACATGCACAAAACACTGCTGTCTCTACTTTGCATAATCTTACACTGTACCAATTTAAGACAGGAGCCTTGTTTCCACAGAGTCATAGACCCTTGAAGAGCCAGGTAGCCAGCAAGGAAACTTCTCAAACATTTGCTCATCTGACATAATGAAAATTTGTGCGTTCATAAATGTAATATACCATGGGTTCTGCTTATCACCTGAACCTGCCTGTGGTGGGTTAGCCCTTGGCTCG